GACTAAAACACCAACCCCCCCCCCCCCCCACTTCCCCCCCCTCCCCCCACCCACCTCCCTCAAACACACAAACAAATGCGGTATCTGTCCCCCTAAACTCTGTTTTGCAATAGAAAAACTAGGCCAAGTGGTAAATATTTTGACAATTTCTTTACAAATCTTGAGAGAATATTATATTGTTCAGATCTATTCATTATATCTTACCATATTGGTTATATTATATATTATATTATCTTCATATATAGTCATATTTCTTATAAACATTTCAAAAGATATCAATTTTTATGTATTTCGAATTTGAAAGAACGCTCGGCTGCACCCTAGCGGTTTGACATGATAATAAATAGAAACATTACATAAAGCCCTAACCGTTCTATATACATTCCAAGGGAAGGAATCCTCGGTAATTTTATTTGACCATTGCGGCCACTTCTTTTTTTTCTGTAAGTCAAAAACTACTTGAACAAATTGAATACCCCACCCCCTCCCCCTCCCCAAAACTCTTTGAATGCTATCTGTCCGCCTTCTACTAACCATGCATCTTAATCTCGACTTCACACTCTCCTCTCTACTGTCTCTTGCTCTCGACTTCATGCCCTACTAACCCTGTCGCTTGGCTTCATGTCCTCTTCTCTACTAACCCTGTCGCTTGGCTTCATGTCCTCTTCTCTACTAACCCTGTCGCTTGGCTTCATGTCCTCTTCTCTACTAACCCTGTCGCTTGGCTTAATGTCCTTAATTGTCATTATCAAAGACGTAATTAATTATACCTGATAATATCTCTATAGTAAGCTCTTTAAATCTATGTGTCAACTTGAACTGACTGACTTTGTTCTAAAAAGGTTACTTAAAAACGTAGCGTACAAATGGTTAATTGAGCAGTTTGACCAAATTTTGATGTTTGGTATTATAATGGCTCGATATTATTAGTTGAAACCTTTAGAATATGTAGGAGACGTATTTCTCTACAATTTGGCGTTCATTTTACTTGAATCCGTACAGTTTTCTGACAGCTACCAAAAAGCATAACGAACTTTAAAAAAAACTTACGTTATGTTTGTAAATTGTTTAGGCGTTAAAATTTAACGGCTAGATTTTTTAAATTAAATTCTCAGGGATATATGTAGAATTTGGCGTAGAGTTACCATGAATTTTCGAGCTAACAAAAAATCGGAATGCCCCTTTAACTTCTCAAATTAGTAACGGAGATCATTTCAATGGGGTTTTGTGTCTAGTTTTCATAAAATTGAACAAAAATGGGTCAACGTATGGAATAGTCACAGCGTTCCCTAGCCACACCAATAGGTGTTAATAGTGTTGTTGTTATCTATGGATATTCATGGCCATGTGTGAAGTGACTTAATATGTGGTTTTAATGAGGACATGAATTTTATTTTTTGACCTAACCTGAGAAACACCGCGTCACAAAAAGGAAATTGGAACGAAATTTGGATTGGTTAAAGCAGACGTCATTGAGTTAGGGCAAAAGGTTAATTTGACGGACTTCCAAGGACTTAATATGGATTTTTGGAGAACTTAGTACAGTGAACCGACGTAATACAGACTTGATGAGAACTTTCTATCAAATTGATAATTCCTTTATGTTCATTAACCCATCAGAATGAATGTATGGAACAAAGGTAAGTAGATTGCTACCAAAACAAAACTGTTTTTGTATTTGTCCCTTAGTCGATTTTTGCACGAAAACGTTGTCCCCAGCTGATATCTAAAACAGAAAAAACATTGCGACTTTAAAATGTTTACGTGAACCACGTGCTTGTCGGTAAATTGGTTGTGGTCCGAGAAAAAAAAAGAAATAAAGCAGTTATCTTTTCTTGACCTGACAACAGAGTTGTGTCCCCTGAAGCATGGCCTTGAATTCCACGAATACCGAATTCAGATTGTTTTTTCGCAATTTATTTACCATGCCTAAAGTATGTGTATCTAAAAAAGTATTTGGTAAGTCTTAAATGCTGCATTCTCGAAGTCGGCCTGACGAAATTATCAGGAGGTGCGGTGGCTCAGTGAGTTAAACGCTCGCTCGCTAACCTGAAGGTCCAGGGTTCAATCCCGGTTTACCCCTGTCAGTGATGCAGGTATGAGGGGCTGACATGGATCTGACATGGATAAAGCGTCTAGTCATTCGCATGAGACAATAAACCGAGGCCCCGTGTGCTACAGGCTGTGCACGTTAAAGATCCCTCGACAGTAAGTTGGAAATCGAAAAAGAGCGGGCTGTCCTGGCAAATTTTCAAGTCATTCACATTTTAGCCTTGACGATCCAGTCAAACAATGACTCTAGTAAACATTGCCAAGTACGCCAAGAGACTAACGTTGCATGCTGAAATTTCTTTGCTACAGGCCTTTTTGTAAGTCTATTCATTTCTCAATCATGCAACTAAGTAAAGACATTACTACTTTTTATTTCTTCAGTTTTTCTGGTTTTGGTGCTGGCGAATCTTCTAGCCATTGGATACTATTTAAAACATAAAGACTTCCAGCTTGCAGTAGACCGAGGATTATCTACTTTAAAAAAATCTCCATTGAATTACATTTTCGATCGTCCAAAGAATCCACTGGAATCTGTTCCCTTTGTGATAAACAATTTCCAAAATAAAAGCAACCAAGAGCATCAGAACATCACAGAACTTGTCCGAAAGTCTCACCAAACGTCTCAGAGCAACACAACTGTGAAGTCTAACACAACCAAACCGGTGTATCTGTGCATTAACCTAGGCGCTGGCTTGGCAAATCGACTGTACATGTATGCCTCATCGTATGGACTGGCAAGGGATAAAGGGATGATTTTAGTGATTCCAAGAGGCACGGAGACTTTGGACGCCACATTTAAAGTGAAAAACACATATAAAAAGGACCCAAAACTTTGTCCAAAAACCAAACACATTACCGAATCAGCGTGTTGCAAATTGGCGCCAAATTTATTGAAGTTACCAAGCAACGAATCAGTAACAATAAACGGGTATTTACAAAGTTACAAATATTTCGAAAAATACCGCAAAGAACTCAAACCATTATTGACATTTCGCGACATCGTTTTAAACGAAGCGAAAGCTAAATTACATAAACTGCTCTCAGATAAATACGTTGGTGAAACTAAAAACTCTTTATACAATCGCACACTGGTCGGCATTCATATACGACGAGGCGACTACACACAACCACAAGCTAAAGCTTTCGGATACCGAACGGCTACAAAGGAATACATCGTTAAAGCTGTGGATTACATGAAGCGGAATTTTTCGAATGTCACTTTCATAGCTTGCTCAAACGATGTGCAATGGACGAATAAAGTGTTTCTTGGTCACAATGACGTAATCGTCGCACAGATTGGTTCGGCGACAATTGATCTTGCCCTGTTAACTTTGATGAACCATACGATCATTACGGTGGGAACTTACAGTTTTTGGGCTGCGTGGCTGAACCCTCAAAACGGAACCGTTCTCTATTACAAAGACTTTTTTGAACCGGGAAGTCGGTTCTCTCGAGGTTTTGCGAGTCCTAATACTGATACGTATTATCCATATTGGATCGGATTATAGGTTTGTAAATTACCCGTAGATCTTTCAGGCGTGTGTGGACCATTTTGTGAAGTCTGGAAAGCTTTCAAACATGAAAAGATCTTTTGCCAAGCTTCTATTGTTTACTATTTGTAAATCTCTCCAAAAGCAGGTAATTTCTTATCAAATTGATGTATTCTAATGCTGAAATCCATCGTCTGAACTTGTGACCTATATAGGCAAGATATAAAAGACTATCTCTTATAAAACCTTATACTCATATAAATATCTACCGTCCAAATATGACCCATATGATATTCTTTCTAAGAACAGAATGTATGACTCTCTATTGTTGTGCAATAAACGAAATAAGAAGACGCCTTTTAAAGGGAAAGGTGCACCATTTTATTTGATCAACCATACTCGGAAACAGGATTTTTTTAAGCTAAGTCAATCACTTATAGTGTTCACAGCTGAAACTATGCGATTTTCTAATATTTCTAGTACTTTTGACGATTCATTACATATAGGCTAGTCAAGACTAAATTTACCCCAACCCCCTCCCCCCTACTCCCTTTAAGGGTGACTAAAGTAGTTTATATGTTAAATAAATAAAAAAACACTTTAGTACTTTTAAATGGTGTCTTTACTTCTTTTACTATACAAGTATTTTAAGGTGTGGGCACACGAGCGGTCTTGGTCGGAGACGTTTGTCGCCGATTAGAGTCTTGTCTTGAGTTCCAACGACTGCCACGGGCACACGAGGAGGTACAAATCCCCAGTCGATCGTTTTTTCAAGGTAATCAAATAGGGAGTAACTTACAGCCCTTAAACAATGGCAGCTAAAAAAACACTTACAACTTTGTACATATAAGATTGCTCTGGACACAAATATTGATTATTGAGGGACTATTTCTTCGGAGAGAAGAGATAACTTTGCTCGCAGTGATTGAAATGAATACTCCAGATATCGGAATATGAAATAAAATGGAGTTATAAGTCCTATTTACGACACGTTATGGTCTATTGAAAACGTTTAACATCGGACAAAAAGTAAATAAAATGAAATGAATAAAAGGACTTCCTTTGATGTAAAATATATTAGAAGTCTTTTGAAATCTTTTGAAATAATTTCAATTAAAATTCAAAGAATTCACTCAACTAGAAAGACTCAAATACAAAGGAAACCTGAGTAACACCATGTATCAGCACGTAGTTCGTAAAAGCCCCGTCACACCGGTAAAGGCGTCCTAAAGGCCTGGACACACAGATTATGGTTTTCGGTGCGGCGTCAGGCATGCGTTTAAGACTGAATGCCGGATGGGTCTGGGAAAACCAGCAGCCAGTTCCCAGTCGTGTCATGAACCTCTCGACATTCAAATATTACCCAGTTGTTCCTTCGAGAAAAACGTGCCTGTTTCGCCGGATCTTATAAGAAGGACAAAATAGGCACGTCACGTTCACGTTCCGCAGACCACAACCGTAGACCAGACACCGCAGGGCTATGGTAGCGTGACCTTGTGAAGATGAGGCACGCTAAAATAATGTGTTACATGGCGAGCTATTGAAATCCAATAAGGTAAATAAGCCAATATCATTTTGTTAACCCGGCTTCTATTTTCGTAAAAGTCTTATCAATAAAGACAATTGTCCGAAAAGCCTTCCATTACCGACAGTGTTATGTCTCAGCATGCATGCAATGGTCCCCGTAGCATTGACCTCGACCTGATGGCTTCGTATGATGAGGTGGTTACCATGAACCAATCAAAACGAGAGAGGATGCCCGTACTTATATTATTTACTGCGGTGTGGAATGGGGGATTGTTTGATTATAGCTAAGATAAAAAATCCCGTTTTGAGTCTGATGGTGAATCTGTCCCTTTAAGAGTTGAAACATAAATCAACACTTGTGATAACATATTTCCCTGTACATACCGACGGAAACAAATTCAACAAAATATATCAAATTACAGTCAGTTTTCCTCGTTTTGCATGGTTGAATTTGAACAATCCCATAAAGGTGACCTCACACCATAGCGATTACCAGTTGGGTATTGTCAGTGGCGGAGCCAGGTTTACGTCTGAGGAGGGGATGGGGGCGAAATATCTGAGGTTGCCAGAATTTCTAACATAGTTATGAGATTTTTGCCCGAAAAAAAACGAGTTGTTAGCTGCGTTCGAAATCGTGACCACTTTCATTATTAGGAACCATACTAACTGGTAATCGTTATGGTGCGAGGGCACCTGTACAGGAGTGTCTTAATTCAACCTTGTTAAATAAAACTCATCTTGCAGCCAGTTTTTCTGACTCCTGCTGCACTACATTTCGGACTGTAATGCAAATAAAAGAATTTTCTTTCAACCATTGTTTCTTTCAGTTTATATAATTGTTCAATAATCTGTCTATTCTTCGTATAATTTAAACATCGATTCTATCCTTCTATTCCAAGTTTGATCATTCATTTAGCATGCATCTATAAGAGGGAACGAACGAAGACATACACGACTCCATTTCAAAACTCTCTGGTAGTCTAATGGTGTTATATTGTGAGCCAGTAGCGAAATGGCGCTGATTTTTGCCATTTTATTAGTCCTAAGTTTGGGTAGGTTTTTGTTTTATTTATTCTTTCGGGGGCAGGTCATTCGGCAATCCTCGGCAGTTTCCGTAAAGTTGAATCTGAAACGCAACTTTCATTGAGGCCGTTTGGGAGGCAGGTTTTCAGCAAAGACTACTTCGTCATAAGTCGTTGGAGCCAGTGCTCTTTGAGAGAGGATTAGCCTACTGGATCTTAACAATTTCATGGTATAAAGAGTAAAAATGAATTGAAGTTTTACGTCCTATTTTGTGCTTCTAGTTGAGCATTGAAGATGGGTATTGATCATCTGCCTACTCACTTTTCGATTTTCACATGTTTTGGCTTTTGGTCCTCGGGCAGTATTATCGGTAGCTGTAGCTGACTCAAGGCACTATCAACTATCTGAGTCAATTCGGCACTCCTTTCTGAGAGTCCACATTATTTATTTGGTGACTTCCGTTCCATATCACGCAGAATAACATCCTTTGTATTATCATTAGGTCCTTTGGTTCACCCAGTTTACTGTTCAGGCTCACACCGGAAACAGATAATGTGTAAGTGCAGTTGTTGTCCCCGTGAGTTCAAGATCAATACAAGCTCTGTGAACGTTGAGGAAACAGTCGCAAACATCACTGCCGAGCTAACAGTTGAGAGGAAGGGACTCTCAGCAACCACCAGGAAGTTCTCTGGTAGCCTTGACGACCGCCCATCATCACAATTCATTGGAACTTTCGCTATTCTGTTTATCACGTTCATTTGTGTTGCCATTTCCGGACCAGATGTTGCTACGGTCATCTATCGCTTAAACAGGAAGTATAAATGTACCAAACGACTTCGCCTGGCGTTGGAACGCAGAGGTGTCATGGACAAGCTGAGACGGATAAACTGCAACGTTGCGGAACGGAGCAAAAGATTCAAAGCCACGGCAGTGACCTTCTTGAAGCTTGATCAGAAGTCGAAAGCCGTCATACATCCAACAAAACCACCAACGAAACGTCAAAACAAACGAATGGCGAATGTACCATAATGGCTTTTCTAATAAACTATTATATAAGTTTATATTATATGTGTAATTGCAATTATTTTAAGCTTAGTTCTTAGAATGGCTTAAAGTTACAAATCGTTTTGCTGACGTTACCCACTTATACGTAGGCTTACTTAAATATTACCTCAGTATGCTTTGATTATTCGACTGGGCCAAAACATGTTCACTCTCCGACACCCAGACTCCTTGCAGCTGTGTATAGACAAAAAAGACTGGGTGATAAGGGCCAATAGATTTCGCGCCAATAATTATTCTCACCTTAGAATAATATACAACCATTTCAAAATATGATTTTGAGATTATTCTTTTGGTTTAGAATTCCTAACCAAAATTAATTCAACCCTTAGGAAATGGTGTTTTCTTTTCATATCTTTACAGTAGGCCCACAATTCTACATCGTTTTCATGATATGTCAAATGGTCCAATTGATAATGATTTGTCCAATATGTTCTATGGGCGATTTGACGTGCTCTTAACGAAGGGAGGTAAGAAACATACGCTACTCGCGACAGTCACACAAAAGCGAGTTCCGGTTACGATTTCCAAGCGTGTTTTTGTTTAAAATTTGTAAATAAAGGCTGTCTTTTGACTTATAAAACTGAAACAAACATGGATTTAAAACGAAGGGCAATGGAAGGCGCAATTGTACCTGCAAAAAGAGCCAAAACTGATATGGTGGTTCACTCAGGGAAAGGCAATCAACTGGTTGAATCGGTATGTAACCCCTCACCTCTTCTTTCGTTTCAATTTTCCATCGTTTCAATTTTCCATCGAATAACTTGTTAAGCAAGTGAAAAATACAATATCTAAAGGCTAAATCCCTTGGTTGCTGACATGAAAGAAAGTACCTTTTAAAACTGTACAATAACTATTCGTTGTTTCAGGGTCCAGCAAGAACATCAAACCTAACAGCTCCAATCATGTTACTGACTGGTCATGAAGGAGATATTTTCACTGCCAAATTTTCACCAGATGGACAGATGCTGGCTTCAGGTGGATTTGACAGATTAATTTGTAAGTTATAACCATGTATTGTTCAGTACTGCTCCAGCAATGTTGTTATTGTGCCAGCCAGCAATCTGCCAATAAGTAACTTGACTTTGTATAAAAAAATACTCCATTAAAATTGATTTTTTTTTTGCTTCCAGATTTTTGGAATGTGTATGGTGAATGCGATAATTTTCATGTGTTGAAAGGACATTCTGGTGCCATAATGGAACTACAGTTCTCAACAGATAGCAGGTTGGTATTTATAACTGTTTTTGGAATTTTATGATAACACATTGTTTGGTACCAGCAATAATTGCAGAACCATTAGACCTTAAGAATACTACTTCTAGGTTTATTACATACTGTGTTTCGAAAAACATAGTATGTACTAAAACTAGAAGTAGTATATCTATATAACTTGTGTTCTTAATATTTACCTTCCTACTTCTGTATGTCTTACCAAGATTACACTAATGATCTTTTTTTATATTTCTTCCAGTAATCTGTTCACTGCCTCCACAGATAAAATAGTAGCAGTTTGGGATGTGGAAGTGGGTGTCAGAATACGCAAGTTAAAAAGTCACCAAACATTTGTCAACTCTGTGAATCCAGCTCGACGTGGTCCACAGCTACTTTGTAGTGGAAGTGATGATGGCACAATTAAGGTAAGTTTGGAACCCCTGAATGGTTATCTTGTTTCCTTTGAGACCTTCAATCATAAATTTGGAAAATTTTAAAGACAGCTGAAATTGAGCTCTAAACAACTATGTCTATTAAGCTCTGAAATTGTCATCATGATTATTTAGACTGTCTGCATTAGCTAGACTTGTTATTATTTAACTTTGTTATTATTAAAATTTCACCTTTGTTATTATTTAACCTGTTTTATTACAGTTATGGGATGCCAGAAAGAAGGGAGTAATACAGACATTCCAGAATACCTACCAAGTGACATCCACCTGTTTTAATGATACAGCTGAACAGATTTTCTCAGCTGGTATTGACAATGATATCAAGGTAACTAAAACAAATATCTCTTTTGGTGGTTTTGTAGGGTACAAAGGCTCTTTCTTGGTTAACCTGGTTTCCCATTGTCAGTGATGTAGTATGGAGAGGCTGACATTGAAAAAACGTCTAGTCATTCAGATGGGACAGAGAGGTCCTGTGTGCTGTAGGCTAGATCCCTCGACAGTTGGTCAGCTGGAGGCATGCGCTTATGCCTATGTCTCCACAGTTGACCCCCCATTAGGTTAGTCTGCCCCTATTTCTACCTCCAATCTCTGCAGTGGCACCACCACTAGTAAAACTCCATTTCATTTCTCAACAGGTGTGGGATTTAAGAAAGAATAATGTGCTATATAAGATGAGAGGCCATCTTGATACACCAACTGGTATGGAACTTAGTCCTGATGGTTCTTACCTACTCTCTAACTCTATGGATAATACTTGTGAGTATAGTTGTTTGTTTTATGGGGGGAGAGCAAAGAGTAGCCTGATGTTCCACCCAGACCACCTTATCTTACTGCTACCAAGTCTGAAAAAAGAGGGGGATGGAGCAAAGGAGTCTAATCTTCCACGTAGACCATGTTCTTAGTCTAAAACAGGGCATCGTAGTCCTGGAAACCTTGTGGGATAACTACATAAAATATTGGATTTTATTTTGAAAGAGATTGTTCTGATGAAGGATTATGTTTTATTTTAGTACGAGTATGGGATGTGAGACCATTCGCTCCCCAAGAAAGATGTGTCAAGATTCTACAGGGTCATCAACACACATTTGAAAAGGTAAGTAGACATGGGACGTTGGCCATGAGTGTTAGGAACAGTCCGTCTGTGAAGGATTAATCATCTTTCCTACTTATTCTTGTAAATGGGTATAGATAATCCATCAAAGAACTTTGTCAAGGTTTGGTCAATGATCCACTTGAAGACTGGTTGCTTTTCTCATGATTATTGGCTTTTGGCCTTGACTTATGGCTTGCTGGCTTGCATTTTGGTTTCCCCCTTGTGATTCTTATCCTTGTTCTTCTTTTCTAGAATCTACTCCACTGTAGCTGGTCAGCTGATGGGTCTAAAGTGGGAGCAGGATCTGGAGATAGATTTGTGTATGTATGGGACACTACCACTCGAAGGGTGCTGTACAAGTTACCAGGGCATGCTGGATCTGTAAATGAAGTTGATTTCCATCCATTTGAACCCATTGGTAAGTTTACTCTCTCTCCTCATCCTATAGAATAAACAGTGGTTATTATCCCCCGGGTCTGTTCTGTTATCTGCTTGGCCCCTCTGCCTGTCTGTCTGTCCATTCATCCATAATTGACTATTGAACATGGTATTTTGTCCTATTTTGATAAAACATTGCATATATATGTATATTGCTCTGATCTTGGATAAGTCCAATTTTGGTGATTTTTTAATAATTAGTTTTATAGAGTTATTGCCCTTGTTTTAACATAAATTGGCTCATTTTAACAGAGAGGAATATCCCCCCTTCATCTTCCACAATTCCTCAAAACCTGTTGAATAAAAAATCTCAAAGTCTTACCTAAAGTGACCTATCATGAAAAAAAACCTGCAGTGCTGCTACAATTTGAAAAAATAATAACGAAATATTTTAAGATAACTACCACTATACCCTTTTCTAAAAGGTTATAAAGATTTTTGTTTTGTTTAATATTTTCAGTTTTATCATGCTCGAGTGACAAAAAGATATATTTGGGTGAAATTGAGCCTTGAACGAGGGGCAGGCATTTAAATAAATGGGAATCTATTTGGTGGCTAAAAAATAATGGTTTTATACCCTGAAGGATTTTTGACATAATGACATTTTTGGGCTGTTGATTTGAAAGTTTGAATGCCAGAATTTTGGATGAAAAATTGGATTGTTAAGTGTTTTGAAAGAGAATCTCAGTGAACGCTTGGGAGTTCCAGTCAGACCTGTCTGGAAACTGCATCCAAATCAATAGCCCTGATTCTCAAGTGAATTTTCCCAGCATACAGTAAACAGTGACATTATCTCAAAATGACATCCTCTTCAGTGACATTATCCATGGATGTGATGTCAGACAGTTGACATTGTCATTATCATATGACATTGGAACAAAGTCAACATTATCATCAAGTGACAGTATCATTACCTGTGGTTTTTGTCATACAATTGGCATTAATGTCATCAGTGTCATTATCTGAATATCAACATTATCATTGGAATGTCATCATAGTCATCATCATATACCATTAAATCATAGTGACATTATCCTTGGTGACATCTCTAGACATGCTGTCACCATTATCATCCAGTGACATTATCATTTGTGATATGATGTACATATTCATTGGTATGATTTCAGCCATTATAATACAGAATGTTCAAAATCATTATCATGTTGGCCTTTTCATACAATACCATTATCATCTAAAGCAAATATGATAATGGTATTGAATAACATTATCATTTGTATTATCGTAGTGACATTATCATTGGGCACAATTTATGATAATGTCATTACCATTCAATAAACTCTTTTTTATTAATATTAAATTTCTTATCAAAAAGAATATTACATTTTATTTTGATATTATTATCAATTCATCACAAAGTCACACAGTTGCAGTTCCAAAATCCCTGATTAAGCCCTTAGTAGAGGTATTCCAGTACTCTCTTTATCGAATCTCTGCATAATGCGACTTTGACACCACCACAGTTAAATGGAGCTTTAAAAAGAACCATTAGGCCTCAGGAGATATATTCCATACTCTCTATATTATCTTGTACATTTAAAGAAATACAGATTATTAGCATGTGGAGTCTCTGTATTAGTCAACTGTGACACTCACCACCACCACAATATATCTTAAAGATATCAACGGTAGAGATAATCCAGTACGGTACACTCTTTATTGTGTTATAAAAATTACAGTTTGCCATAAGAACATTATCACAGATAAGCACTTTCATATTTACAATATACAATGGCTCCATGGGTAGAATGAGGCTTTGGGGAACTAACCCAATTCGGCAAGCAATAGGAAGGTTTGGGCTTAACACTGGTACTGATAAGAATGTTTTGGGCAGGTACTCTTTCCCTCGCACACACAAAATATTTAAGCTCCCACGCCAAAAGTACGCTTCACCAAATCTACCACCTCGATACACAAATCAAATACTCGAAGTTCCAAGATTCTGAGATTATGAAGAAACCAGACCTAATGCTACACTCTAAAATGGAATTTCTCAGCCCATAATGGTCGTCTTGAGACACATTGATTTAAATTTGGGGTATTTCCAAAGTGATCACCGTTTTAGTCTTCATTACCGGATTCTCTGGAACCACCGGAACAACATCCTGTGTAACCGATTTTGTTTTAGATAAGTCGTCATGTTGCAACAGGATTCCTTTTGTCTCCAAACTTCGAGATAAGGATGAATTCTGTACCACCAGTCGTCTCGTTTGATTCAAAGCCATGATGGCTCTGGTTAACGGTTTAAAGCTCCTTCGCTGTTGCATCTTTACAGCCGTTTCCGGATCATCTAATGCCTCTGACATGTCCACTACATTGATCTCACTAGTAGCGGGGGATGCCCTAATGAATCCGTGACCAAGGGACGATTTTGGTCGACGTAGAATTGACACTGTCGGATTTCGAGGCGTTATGCATTCGCCTTCGATTCCATCTTCCAAACAAGACATTCCACTTTTCGGCGATCCGGTATCGTCGTCTTTTGACGATTGCTGTGACACATTTCCAGAAACTGACTTACGTCTCCGGACAGGGAAACTGTTGGTGAAGACTTTATTTGTCTTTGGACCAGAAGTTGCTTCTGAATCTGTATCTGGAAGGTCTTCAGTATCGGCTTTTTGATGACACTGTTTTCTTCCATCTTTAGTTCTTGCAGTAACTGGTCGGGATCGGGGAGACATGTCGACCACATTCAAAGATAGTGTTGTCGATGTGATGCTCTGTTTTCTCGCGGGAAAAGCAGTTTTCGGTCTGACACGTGGAGTTCCCACAGATGAACCATCTGATGAATAACGTTGCTGGCTTCCATAGATCGATCCTCTCCGGACGGGTCTTGCTGTTTGAGGCCGCCGACTTGATGGCATAGCATCATCGTTCAAAGGTTCATCTCGGTTTCCAAGAGGATAGCTCCGTCTAGTCATCAGAAGGGGTGATTTTGGAGTCGTCGGTCTTTTAATGTAACAGCTCTTTTGAGATTCTGGTTGTAATAAGTCATTTTCTTGCTTTACTTGCGGCGCCGTTGGCACTAATTGGCATCCCTGGCGCGTTTCCTCTGATAGAGCTTCGTCACCATCCTCTTTTGATCCGCATTTCGTTGTCTTTCTATAACGAGAGGCCACGAAATCGTTCTCATTAAAAGAATTGCCCAAATCCGAAGTATCCTCGCTGGAGTATCCAACTGATTCGTTAGACTCCCCGAATTGGGCCTGCTTGCTGGTTGTTTGGCTTTCCTTACGTTCATTGTCACTTATGTTATGCGAGGACAACGTTTCGTTGGAACTCATCATAGAATCTCTTTCGGATTGGTTGGATCCTCTGGTAGCTGGTGCAGTGCGAGCCGTGAAGGGACGGTTCAGATACTTGTAAGAACGACTGAACATAGCTCTCTTCATCCCGATAGCCGTTTTTGGACGCCGTGCCGACTGATTAACGGACGGGAATTCGTGCTGCCAGGTGGAAATTCCAGGTGCTGAGTCTTTTTGAGTTTTCAGAGGCTGCATTCCGTTGATCGTTGGCTTCTCGTAAGAAATATGTCCCACGATGTACCCGCAATGAATATCGTTGTATTCTTCTAAGGTTCTCGGTGAATTCATCGAGTTGGACAGGTGTTTGGAAATGACACAGTCTCCTAAAATATATTGCCTTGGGTACGTGTGACTCATCTGCCGCGCCGTTTGAGGTCTCGAGTTACTATAAGATCGTTTAGGTTTGGGAACGCAAGATGTTCTTGGACTATCTGTCAGAGGAATTTCAAAGTTTTCTATTTTGACATATCCAGATCATTGCTCTCTGCGTTTACGAAATTTTGAAGTCGTTCCTCCCTTAGACGCTTTTCTTCATCGTCGACGTCGTAACCAGCCGTTGGTACCCGAATTTCTTTTGTTCCGACATCTGGTGACTGAATTTCCTCTTTCTTTGCCTTCGCTACTGATTTGGTTTTCTTCAGTGTTCTAACTTTCAGACATTTTCCAACAGTCGCAGAGTCGTTGGATATACGTCTCCGATAACGCCGCTGGGGTCGGTGATACTTTTCGACAAGGCTGATGTACATGTCGTCCGTCTCACTGTCGCCATTTTCTTTCCCAGTTCTAGAACAGCCAGGTGAAGCTAACCTGGTGTTCGGGGTACCTGCTGGAAAAAATGGTTTCATGTCGCTTCTCTTGGATCTTGGGGTCTCCGCATTTAAATTTTGTGGACCTTGCGGAATCTCCTCCGGCAAGGTCGATTCTGCCCCGATGGAGTTGGAAGACTTACTTGTTATTTTATGAAATTCAAATAAATTGTTCCTAGTAGCACTAGTCATATCATCGGGGTCATAGTTATCACGTGGACATTTCACGGACGAGTTATCATCCCTGAATTCGTTGGCTGAAGATTCCACACTAAGCTGTCGCTTCTGTTGTCCGGGTGATTTGGCCGATGAGGCAGCTCCGGTTCCCCAGTTACTACGTCCAATGGATGAATCCAAGTCTGCTGTTGAGTTACGTCTATTGGCCATCCCACTAGCCTGCTCAACCAATCCGTTTACCGTTTGGGACAACGTCAATGCAGAGTCGTTGCCGCTGTCAGTATCCGTTATGGTCAAACACAGATCTTTTAAGCACAGAAGTTCATTATCGTCAACTCCGGACTGGGATTTGTCTTGTCCAGTATCTTTTGCTTTCCCCACCACTGTTTTCGGAATAACCTGGTTCATTGCACCTGTTGCTGTTCCGTTTATTCTTATGGATACGTTTCCATTTAACTTTTCCGAATTGTTACGACTTCTTTGTGATGAACACGCACTGTCCATAGATGGTCGTCGAGAAAAATTCGCAGGTAGGACATGTAAAAAGTCTTCCGGGGAGAAACTTCCCACTGAAGACGCCGATGACGATACAGAATTTCTCCTGCGATTGGTCGAAGGAGGAAGAAGTCTGGAGATATTCGAAATGTCACTTCTTAGCGAGGATCTACGGGAGCTTTCTCCTTGGGTCGCGGTCAGCTGTGAAGATGTTGCTTCTAACTTTTCTTGTATTTGCTGGACATCCTGTTCTAGCTTATCGGTTTGGGTGACCCGACGAATGTACGATACAACGGCGAATGTGTCTTTGACCACACCAGCATAGGAAAAAAGGCTGCGCTTTTTCTCGGACACTAAATTGAATTGGCTGTCTTCTTTCGTAAGTTTCCGTAAACTGGGCCTCCTATCTCTTAAAGCGGCAATGTTTAGTCGCGAGCTCGCTTCATCGTCGTCTTTGACATCATCGTCATCACCGCTACAGTTGTGTTCTGATTTTATTTCTGGCTCTTGGAATTCAAGCCCGAGCATAAAACTTCGGAAATCTAAAACAAATGGTGACATAATGATTAAAATAGCATTTAGTAATCTATTTCCAATTACCCGCGAAATGCAAGGCCATAGGACTTTCTATACATGAATTTTGGGTCTGCACATAAAGGTTATAATGAAATCAGGGCAATCCATGATGGTTATTGCTTGCCTTTATTTGTTTTTTGACTGATAGAACTCAAATTCAGCTATCCATATCATAATAAACCCCAGACGTTAAGGTATCTTACAATTCAGCAAAAATTAGAGATTCGACCTCTCTCTCTCTCACCTTCATAGTCGATCGAGCCATCTCTGTCAAAATCAAGATTCTTAAGCAGAGTTATCAGCCCTTCGTCAGTTGTTCCTATATTTAGTTTTTGAAACAGCCGGTAGATGTCAGGGGCTGTGATGTAGCCATCGTTATCCAGATCAATGATTGTAAAGGCTTCTTCAAAGAAGGCTTCTTCGTCGTCTCCATTTTCCAGTGACACATTAACTATCGCCCTCTCAAGTTCCAGAGGATCGATGCAACCATTTGCTGTAAATAATAAGCCATTTAGATATCTAAATCATCCAGTACGGTAGTGGGGATCTCGGGGAAGCCAATACAAACCGAAACCCGACCAAAAAGGTCACAAAAAAACGAAAGATCATTGAGGCAAAGTTGACAAACATTGGCTATCCTGTATTCCTGCCTCAGTGATTGTCTGTATACAGATTTTATCTGAAAATGCAATTACATGTACTTTGTAGCGGTATTCTAACGGACTAAGTGACTTGCTGTTGCCACTCTTGATCTGCGTAACTCATACTTACTGTCAATCAAAGCGTTTCTGATCAAATCCAATATCCCTGTCTCGCCTTGCTTAACTCCCAATGACGTCAGAAGTGGTCCAATATTGTCGATATTCAAAGTTATATCTTCACTGTACTTGTTATCGTAACAGAGACTTAGAGAGCTCTGTACTTCTGTAAAACACAAAAATAGACTTTAGTTTAAGTCACTGCAGAGAGCTGATTACTGCTCATGTTTTCAGAACACTGGACTGCCAATGTACCCCAGGCTTGTTGTCGAGGAATAAGGTTGATACTAAAGAGCAATTTATTTCTTCTTTAATACTATTGCTTCTGTCACGCAATGAGTAAACAAAGTCTATAGAACCAAATTGGAAGGAGACAATAACAACCTTTGAACAGCCGAAATTCTGGCTCTCTATGCGAACTGTGGACTGACCTTTCGTCAAAAGCAAATTGAAAACCTAAAACTTTACATGGAAACTTCATACAGCTGATATGGAGCAAGACATCGACCAAACAAAAGTCACTTAGTGAATCTTTTGGTTATTGCATGGTAGCAGTTGGCCCACAATTACAATTACAAGCCCTAAGACCCCTCCCCTGTCAATCTTTCCAAGAACACTGCGAAAAATACAGAGACATTACTAGCATTTTTCAGGTCCTATGACATATATTGGGGATCTTGTCATAATCCAGCGTCCCAAAGATTTTGTTATTTTCTCAAGTATATCCAAATTCGGAAACAAGGGAAGTAAAACATCCAAGTTCCATCAAGTCTCACCTTCAAAAGAAAGATAGAATCCTTAAAGATATCCTTCAGAACTGGTAATAACGGATGACACTACTCTCAGTTACTGTCTCAGTTAAGGACATTTCAACTTCACCTTTACTGGCGTAGACAGTACAAGATACCAAAGAATATATGATTCCTATATACACCAATGTCTCTAAAGGTACCAAATTCCCATAGCCCCTAGAGGTTCTACAATTCACAGGTAAAGTAAGGAATTTCCCTGAGATTTCTGCGAGGCTACTAGAGTTTTAAAATCACATGATCAACCCATACATGACTAACGTGTTTAAATATACATGAGGTTATGACGTTGCTACAACCACTATGTACTGTGTGTTATTGGGTTCATTAATATTCTAATCCTAAATACCTTCAATATGTGTGTAAACTTACTATAAGCACTCTTGAACTATGGTTCTATCTTGGGTTACCAAACGTATACTAGTCCGACGTAACTTAACCCTTGATATTATGGATCGTCACTGATTTTGAGTTCGTTATGGACTAATAAGATTAATTAGATCAAACGATTGTTTTGGGAACCAGGCCCTTGAATGAGCTTCTACTGTGTATATTACTTTTTCATTTCTTATCATGCAACTGTGTGCTACTTACACTAAGCCTACTTACTGGGGTGGGTCCAAATAGGCCAATCAGGTCCACAGTAGGTCGAACTACACGCGTGCATCCACTTTCCTCCCTATCTTTATGGTGCACCTTAAATTTAACAAATTTGTAAATAATTCTAGGTCAGTAGGTCGTACGTGCACACCTTCTCCTCTTCCCTTCCCTACAAGTAATCAGTTAGTATGTGCGGTTCTTACTTTGTAAAATATAGTTTCTATATCTCGTTTCTTCGTTCATTTTGCTGGTGATATCTTCTTTCTTCTACTCTTCATCATGTTTCTAAAAAGATAACGAAATGCACGTGCATAAATCTATGTCAAATCTAATAGTGAAGAAACTTCGATGAAGTCATATCATACGTTAAAAAAGGCTTATTTTTAGTGGACATAGCCTTCTTAGTTGAAAGCATGTTTAAAAGGGATGTGGTCCCTTGAATTTTCTGAAAATCTAAACTCTGAATAATTTTAGTTTTTATCATCTGATTTGTCAATTATTGATATATATTCGGAATTTCTTTTTCGACCAATGAAATGTTTGTATTTTGAAAAAAATATTTTTGTTGTGTTTTGGTAAAACAGGCGTTGCTGTTTAAGACAAAAACTTGACGAAATAATCACTTTAAGTTTTCGTTCGTTTCCACACTTAATTAAATCGGGCATGAAAAATTGATCAAACAGTTTTTTTTTCTCCTGTAGTTTCCAGGTGTTCCCCGGGGGATACCACTCAAAACATCTCTCAGCATAACCTAGTAAATTAAGCATGAAGGTAAATTTTAATGGCGGACCATGTGGTCAGAGATCATGGGTTTGGGATTAATCTTTGATGCCTCTAGTCTCACCTAATGTATGTCATGCTCCAAAAAGGACATCCATATATAGCTATGGTTTAGAATGCAACCAAGTGGTATCGGTCAGGTACTGGTACAATGTCCTGTAAAATGGCGCACAGTAAATAGTACACAGAGTGAGCTCTCTTTGACAAATCAGCAGCTCCAACTTGACACTGGTGCTTATATTGATTGGGATATGAGCAACTTACCTTACAATTTACGTTGTGTCTTATTTCTTCAAGGGACATTACTCCTTCAACTCTTATTGTATCTCCATTTAGGAACGTATCTATCAGTCCACGAGTCTCCTTTGTATATTGCATTTTCAATAATATACTCAAATTTTACGGTATATCACTCCTGGATTTATTGTTTTAAGCGACGTTTCAACAATTTACATTGACATCTTCAGTTGAAAACTCAGTCTATCCTGTATCCTAATCATGTGGTCTTACACCACAAAACATATTTCATTGCTTTCAAACGAAACCACAATATAGGTTCGATCATGATATTTCAGATACTGGAAATGATATTAGCTCTAAAAGTTGGTAATTGCCTAACGACCCATTTTAGGATCAAATAGGATTATGAGTTAATTCGAGAATTTGCCTTAATTCCGGATTATCCATGGGATTATCTTATTTGCGGCAACAAATCTGACACATGGGATATAATCCTGTACTGGCATTTTCTCCGATCATTCTTAAACCAATGAAAGTTTTAACTTGGTCGACAATTCAGTTATATTGCCTCCACGTTGGTAGGTGTATTTTCGGGTTGCCTGTGGTTTAAGTAGAGGCGGGGGAATTAGAGTGGATGGAAGAAGAAACATTAGGGGTAGTAGGGAAGATGAGTCAGGGAGTGGACAAGAGTTCGGATTAAGATCATGGAGCTAGGGAAGTTTGCATCACCTGGAGTTGGAGAGGAATTGGCCAGGTGGGGGAAGGGGGTGTGAGTCAGAGTTGGATGAGGAGTGGATTTAGAGTCTCAATGGTCAAATAAAATTGGAGAGAATTACTCCCCTTGAAATAAAACGTATATAAAACGTTACAATTTAAAAATTTTGATTCGCATTTCATAAAAATTCGGTAACAATTTAAAATGTTCAGGTATTAAAGAACAGACTTTGGACTCCTCAGTCTGAGGACGCATGCCCCATATAGAGCTACAGATATCTGATGAATTGTTAGTTTAGACTATCGACTGCTTCTAGGGGGTTTAAGTCCAGCCGCACTATCATTAACATGAGAATTCTTTTTATCTTTGAGAACATTAATCGTCTGCTATCGTCGAATCAATACAATGCCAAACGACAATTTAAATCGCGCCATAATTCATCGATTCCAACCTCGTTTCCAGTCTGCAATTAACAGTCAAGCAGACGACGTTTTGTAGAAATATCATCCAGACACGTCAAAGAGTTTAACAAAAGTCGTATATTTCTTTGAATACTTTTTGTATCAAGTTCTTTTTTAATTGAGCTGAACTTTAACCTTTTCATAGCCTGAGCAGACGCACATTTTAACGTGATTGGCACCAAGTCAAATAGGAGATGAAAGACTCGATTATCAAGACTTGTGAGCGGTTCATATATCATATTTTCTTTACGCCGACAAGATTAAAGAATATTACATATGGGTTGCCAAAACAACACAGATTCCTGAAGAGGTTCGTATATTCGTGTCACGTGACATTTACACTGATTACTTTCCCGCGCCACAGGTCACGTGTGTCTCGAATTACCAGTCCTCATCGCTTGATTGATTCCCGTACAGTTGTTATCAATAACTTGATAATCGTGACTGATGTACTAGCAGGCGTGAACTTCTGTTTTTCTTCTAATAACTCGTAATCGCTTTCGTCTGGAGCGATCGTGACTAACATATCACATGCGTCTGGCATTGATTAGAAAAGACTTGACAAACAGGGATAGTTATCGGCTGCTGAGTAAAGCGTTCTACAAGTATTTTGGTTAAGATTAGAGAGAACGACACGGAATGCTTGTAAATTGGTTCTGTAGTTCTTGAACGTCTATAACTTGACCTAGTTTTGACTAGGAGAAACCGGAATTCGCTATGGCAGCGTAGATTTTGTGGAAGTGGAAATTGCGTATACGGATTAAGGAACAGTTATTGGTCTGTCGCATCCTTTGGTGATTTGTTTTGAAGAAGGAATTACCAGGAATCGTCCAAGACAGCAGGTTAGTGTTCTTAGTCATTTTGTGTATTGGAATTTGGCAGCCGCTTAGAATTTTGAAACTGTTGCTCATGGATTATATCCATTGCTTCAAAGTGGTCGGAAAGAGGTTTTCTTAAATTCTATGTGTGTAGGGGTCACAGCGATGCTATCAGTGTCCCCTCTACACATAAGACATTTAGAAGAACCTCTTTACAATTCGCAGGCTCTCTGAAAGTCGTATAGAATCTGGGCGTGTCCACTCCGTATGGAGTACACTCTTTGAAACTGTTCCAAGTTTCATGTTACAGGAGACGCATTTGACTTATCTGCAATCTTGCAAAAACAATTACTACCAAAATATCAGTTCTCTTCTAGTCCAACTATGAAAGTTAATTATATTTTGGCGTGATTTGTTCATGCTTACTCATGACTTTGAAGCCTGCATATCTTTTTTCATCTGTAGCGTTAAGATTAGATGCAAAAAGGATGGGGCATATAATTATTTTTATCGGCGGAAGTCCTCCAGAAATTGACTCTGATAGTTATTATTGACGAAGAACGGTGGTCGGCTGCCTCTGATAGTTATTATTTACTCCATATCCAGCCTCTGATAGTTATTATTGACAGAGTTCTATTGCCTCTGATAGTTATTATTGACAGAGTTCTATTGCCTCTGATAGTTATTATTGACAGAGTTCTATTGCCTCTGATAGTTATTATTGAAAGAGTCTGACCGCCTCTGATAGTTATTATTGACATAGTTCTATTGCCTCTGATGACCTATGACCTGAAGTAACCTCTGAACTATGATTTAAACGTTGTCCAAGATTGCAACACGCCTTACGTAGTTATTATATGAATTACACTGTTTTGTATTGATTATTATTCTATGGTAATCGTCCATGTATTATTCTACTTGGTTATTCTTTTACCCTGGTATAATTACTGCCTAATATAACCGTACACTTTTAAACAAATCAGATACTAAAAAATCAGACGTTCGTTTACTACAATTGGTGTAATGTCCAAATCGAAAACCTGGTGCATATAGGGATCTGTCGAAGCTCAAATATGGTCATAGTATGTTGTGGTCGTTGCTATGCTATTTTGTTGTTGCCATTGTCATTCCAGGTTAACGTGGCCATCCTTTTCCATTGATGCCATCCTTTGTTTTTCTTGTGAATATCGCCATATTATGTTAATAAAAGAATCCAATATAACCTTGCCGTCCAATGTAGATCTTGCCATCCTTCGAGGATACAACCATTCTATTTAATTATAACATAGAGCATAATGTCATAGGCTGCTCGAGATTTTATCAAACTCTTTTTATATGGAATCATAACTTCATGCATAAATTATGATTTCTGAATAAGAACAGTACAAACAGCTGTCGAATCATCGAACGTACAGGTTTAACTGGGCTAATTAACCGTTTCCTTTGATTTCAACCTTCAGTTCTAGGAACACACGTTCGCTTATCAGTATATTAGGTTTTAGATCTGGAGGAAAGACCATGTTATCAAAGCGTTTAGAGGTAATCAGTGCATCAGAACATGGTTCAGTGGCTACAGTTAGATTCTAGATTCTTTGAAGTGAAACGTTGGAAAACTATCGATGTTTTAAATTATGATTTTGGTCGGTACATGTCGGTTGCTGCTCTTGATTATTCTTCTTCTTTAGAATGATGATTTTGTCGGTACTACATCCATAGAGGTGGCTTTGGTCGATAATTGTTGGTTTTATTTCTCATTATTGTCCCCTCCCTTGGTAATGATATTGGTCGGTCCATGTCGGTGTTCTGCTCTTGATATTCTTCTTCTATTGAGTGAAGATTTTGAGCAATATTTGTCGGTCTCACCCATGGTTATGATTTTGGTCGGCGAAGGAGTTCGGAACATGTTGGTCGGTAGAATCATCCTTTCTATTACTGTAGTTGGAGTTTCTCTCTCCATTTTCCTATGGAGTGTTCGTCTTCAAATTTGGCATGTTGAGAGACGATTTGATGTCTGTTTTCTCCTCGTAATTAAACGATAGTCTCTAAAAATAAAAGTTAAACACCGATTCACCGAGAGCTTTCACTTCATCGTTATTCTGGTATGTAGCTTAATTCATTGCAGTGAGAAAAATATATCTATATGTTTTTTAACACTCACAAATGTCAAAAGGATTGAAATGTCAGCGATATAGACGCTTTTATAGTATAGAAAGTCACTGGCCACATAGGTCATGGTGACTGTTTCCAAAGAACCCCATACCGCTAAATGGTCGTCCAACAATTTGGCCAACGATCATTTTATGGATTGGACTGTCAGCGATATAGACGCTTTTGTAGTGCAGTAAGTCACTGTCGTCTTCAATCAGTCGTCGTCTTCAATCAGTCGTCGTTTTCAATCGTCGCCTTCAATCAGTCGTCGTCTTCAATCAGTCGTCGCCTCCAATCAGTCGTCGTCTTCAAACAATCAGTCGTCGTCTTCAATCAGGAGAAAAGTAGGACATAAAACTCCATTACATTGCAAAATAATAAAGAGAAGGTTTCAAAATGTTCGGGAACGTTGGGAACTGCATAGCAACAAGAAGGACATCAACTCCATTTCATTTTATTCATTCTACATTAAGACATCATTAAAAAGAATACTTTAAAATGTCCCTCGTTGCACACTGCTCGCTTTCATGAACCTTACCCAAAGTAGGACTTAAAACCCAATATCATTTCATTTTGAAATACGTACCATTAGCTACATGTTTCATATTACTATACAAGCATGATTTGATTTCAAGAAGGCGACTTATTCTATTCGGAGCAAATAATATAACTAAATAAATAGAACGTGTATTGGTTTAACAGATGGGGAGGAAATTTAACTTCAAAGTTGAGTTCAGTTTTGATATAAAAACCGGTATTTCAGAATATTTTAACAGATATTTTTTTTATATATTTGTGTAAACAGAAAACGAATGGCGGTACTCTATAGTAAAAATACGTTAGTATTAGACCACTAATATCGAGTTTTACACCCTAATATTCTAGAGCTATATGTTCTGTTTTAAAATCGGTATTCTAGATTATTTTAACAATTCTTTTTTACTATTTACAATATACAGTATATAGTATTCGAATTGAGTTGCTTGTCATATGGCGGAGTCAACGACTCAAAGCCTGTCAAAGCCAAATATGACGGGACTTGGAACGCTGCATTTAATCACATGTCTCTATGTGGTTTAAAATCAAATATCGTTTTGTGTTCTACAATGTCACACAGTAAGTTTATGCATATTTTGCATTATTAAATGTGCTGCATTTGACATTTATACTTGTATTCTGTAATGGCCATATCAGAACATGATGACCTGCCAAATTGTGAAAATGACATTTATAGTTGATACAGTATACGTTTACATCCAAGGCACGTAACCTGGATTTCTGTCGTGCTGCGTCTGGATAGACTAATAGAGTGCACCATTACCCACATCATTTTCCATGGCAGCCTTTCTCAGCTGCATCACTAAGGGCGAGAAACCATGGTACCTATTCAGAAGGTGGTACTCTCTCGGAAGTCAAATCTAGACGAGCATGTGCTGTACGTAGCCCTACATCCGAGAGGAGTCGGACCGTACTGATCTTCACGTCGTTACTAAGACCAGTTGCTTAAAATCCCGGCCATGATCAACCTTTCATGTTCCTAACATGAGACTAGTGTTGTCAAAAACCTAGGTATGTGGCCATGCCGCTCGACTTAAGATCGCTTACTTATTTCGGCCGTTGTAGAACAAAACTGAAGAGAGTCTCTTGAACCACTTGCTGTGAAGGTTAATAGCTTAGCGTGTTTAACTAGAAACCAGTGAAGTAACGACAGTAGTTCACCATATTCTGTAATTACATCGGCTTAATGAGGCTTAATTCCATTCGTTCAACTTGTTGGCTAAGCCTGGAATTGGGTTAACGGTCTTCACTCTACTAGAGATGATTGAAAATTGGTCTTTGGTTCGGCAGCTGTTAACAGGGACAAGGCATTGACTCACCTTAAGTGGATGAGATCAGGTTAATGATTGAAAATTATTCGGCGAATGTTCAGAAGAGTAGGTAAGGTATTGGAACCTTTTCCGAAGTTCGGCATTTTGTAACCAGATGGGCTTATTCCACGTTCTTGCATTGGGTACTGGAAATTGTTCTTGAGTTCGGTAACTGCATTACTCTGCAGAGCTCCCGCTCGTTCACTTACTTCTACTCTCTACATTCCCAATAAATTTTATAATAATAATGTTTATTGTCAATGTCTACCAAGAGGAAATTGGGTCAGACAGCTGCATTGTAATTGAATTTTTGTGTAGGAAGAGTAAAAGTTAGAGCCACTTTCCGAGGTGCAGAACAACCTTCTTTCGATATTTTGGTAGAATTGGAGTCCAATTGCGTTATACGATAGTCTATAATACACCCATTGCCAACACTGAGCAGGCGTGGTCTTTTGGTCTTCCGGTATTGAATTAGCCTCGCGCCCACTTCCGGTTACATGACGACTTACTGATTTCGCTTTGTAGTCTGATTGCATAAAATATATATTGCCCCAAGCACAGTTATAATCTGGTAGCTAATTGGACACGATATTGTCGCATGCTGTCTCTTTGCGTCGAGGTATCGCCAAGGACCAGCTGGTAGATGGAATCCTCTTGAGCCTAAGTTGTTTACCTTACCATAATGGTGGCTTCTTCCTTTCTTTTCCTTCTTTGCACTTAAAGCAATTTTGTTTGACCAAGACCTATATATAATACAGCAGACAACATCTCGTCTTTTTACATTAGAACGATGCTGACATCTGTAAAGTTTCAAATTCCCTCGAGGCAATGAATTGAGCAAAAACTATCCTTTCCAAAGGAAGTCGATTGAATTTATGATGACATGTTTAATCAAGTGCACTTATTCTGATGACGTCATCTGATTGTGTGTATTCCATACTTGAAGTGATGCATGTTAAATTAATTTGCTTTTATTCATTTATTCACTCATTCAAGCATTCATTCATTCACTCACTGATTCACCCATTCATTCATTCGTTCATTGATTTAATCGCCACCAATTAGCCATGGGTGGTTTGTGAATATAATCAAATCAAGTGAGTAATTGCGTGTAAATGGAATTACTATAGGAGGCAATTTAGAAAACCATCGGCCTTAGGCTATTTTAGTTCCCTTTCAACTCTCAGTCTCAGTCTCAGTGGAAGAATCGTTTCCTCTCTGCGACTGGGATTGCCAACTGGACATGGTACCCTTGTAGTCAAAAAATTAAATATATAGTCTTTGTTATAAACTGTAAAGATCAGTCGATAAAAAAAAAAAAAGAGTCAATTGTATCGGACCATATATCGTCAAAGGCAGTATTATGCTCTAAAACTAGTGTCATGTTTTGTCATGAGAATACGTATTGTGTCCCTACATGACCTATTTTCATTGACCCCTTGTACGAATTATTGGAAAAATATTCGATCATCGAACCTTTAGAAGGCAAGACCTTGCAGAAAAGTAATTCGAAGGAAAGTTAATTCTTACGTTCTCGGTAAGGTTTTGGTTACGATCGTTACGTTTTGTGACTGACGTCATGTTTGCACCAAGAATACGTCTTTGACGAATCGAAATGGGAAACTGACGGAATAAAACAGTTGTAGTTTGAGAAAAAGCTGATAAATCTTGCTTTATTGTTCCCTGAAGTTGATAACTGGCTTGGATTTTAAATTATCACGTCTGCTGGGATATTCTTCTTAAATTATAATTAACGCGGATGTGGAATTGCCTTTCTTCGATGGACTATGAATAGCTGAAATTGTGTCGGTGAAGCTAATATTAAACTGCAATCAGACGTATAATGATTCTTCATACGTACTCGAGCACTGTTAAAATTTTCACAAGTCATCATAAATTGAAAAATAAACTGCGTGATGTAAAGTTTATTTTCAAGGTCTGTAACTATGAGTCACTAATTACCAAAGTGATGTTGAAGTTATTTATGTTCTATATTTATCATTATATTGCGAATTTTGCCAACAGTATTCATAATTCTTATTGTATCGTCCGTAATTCTTATTGTATCTTCCATAAATATTCTTGTATCTTCCATAAATATTCTTGTATCTTCCATAATTCTTTTTGTATCTTCCATAAATATTCTTGTATCTTCCATAATTCTTATTGTATCTTCCATAAATATTCTTGTATCTTCCATAATTCTTTTTGTATCTTCCATATATATTCTTGTATCTTCCATAATTCTTTTTGTATCTTCCATAAATATTCTTGTATCTTCCATAATTTTTCTTGTATCTTCTATAATTCTTCTTGTATCTTCCATAATTTTTCTTATATCTTCTATAATTCTTCTTGTATCTTCCATAATTCTTCTAGTATCTTCCAACCGAATCCCATTTCTGACCGATTTTCAGGAATCATTCTACAAATAAAAAAGCGAAAGCAATTATTTCGAGGTTTAATCAAACAATAAAAAAAATAGGCGATTATGCATCTTTACACACTTTTTATCGTTTTAGGGGACAGGGTATCTTTAAAGATAATTAATGAGTGTATAACCTAATTAATACTATAATTAATGACGTATTATTCATAATACAGTCAGTCGTGTGATTAACACTGTGTTTTAACACCGTATAGTTAACTGTGTCTTTAACCAGCTTTTTTCTAATTTGAATATCAATTTCTGTCTGTTGTATATTTTGTGAGTGTTTTTAAGGATTTTAAGTTGTAAGTTCACTTCCCTTGGTAAGTATTTTCATTGCAATCAACTGATTCAGTCTTTTAAGTTGTCTTTTAGCTGATTTTACATTAATTTCTGTCGATTCTGTATTTGTAAGTGTTTTTGAGGATTGTAAGTGTATGTTGCCGAAGTAAGTATATGTATTTTTTTCGTGCTCCAATTTCCATGGTTTCTGTTGTGTATTTTGTAAGTGTT